TGTCTTCACTACCTTGCTTGGTTTGAAATGATTAAAGAAAATTGGGAAAATTTTGTTTGCCATTGCTTTTTGTAGAGTTAGGAATGACCACAACAATTTCTAATTACAGAAGAATATTCTTTATTTTGAAAATGGAATTCTTTATCCATGTTGAAAGACTTGAAGGCATTTTATTTGTATATTTCTTTTAACAAGAGCAAAAATAGAAGACATTAATTGTTTGACTTTTCTACTCTTTCTTGCTGTTCCATGTTGTTTAACTTTTGCAGGTTCACAGCAATGTGTTTGTTGTCTGGGTCCAACTTGGAAGAGACATGATCCCATAGTATCACGAGCTTTTACATTTTTCCTGTTAAATCAGAGTAAGAATACCCTTCAACTTGTTGGAGACATATTTGACACAGTAAAAAGACATTTTTATTTTTTTACCTCTGCCAAGAAAGTTTCACAGAGGTCTCATCAATTTTTGTCTGCATGTACACACAATATTTATAAAAGTTATCAGTTTTAAATAAAATTTTATGGAAGGATGGTCTATATAAACCTTAGAAGACTGGATTAAATTTGAAGGCAGATTCATAAATTAATTTTTTTTTTTTTTTTTTTTTTTTTTTTTCATTGAGATATTTCATGTTAAAGAATAATGGCCCCTTTCACATGACCTGTTACTGAAATAAGATTAAAATAAAATGGGTACATTTCATTGATAATTTTAACAGAGGCAGCAAGCGCATCTGGAAATTTCCTTGTTAACATTATATTTTTCAGTTATTAAAACGTAATAATCCATCTAATAATAATTGATATTTGTGCATTGTTTTTATTTTTTTTTTTTTTTTTTTTTTAGAAATTTAACTCCTAAATGTTTACTTTTATAGATTTTAAAATATAAAAAAAGTAAACATTTAGGAATTAAATAAATGAAAATAAATTGTTAAAAAAATTAATCAACTTTTTTCGCAATCCAAAAGTTTACAGAATATTTTATTAAAAACAATTAATTTGACAATATTCTGTTTCTATTTTCTGCTTCAGGTGCATAATTTCATGCAGCTTAATTTCTCTGGGGATTTATCTTTACAAATCTAAATATTAAATGTTCAAATTTTATATATTAATAAGTTAAATCCTAAATAGATAAGTACCCCAAATATTTGTGTGCTGGGAACTGTTATATTCTGCAATTTTATCTATTTCATTCCTTTGGTATCGATGGAAAAATAAAGTTACCTCCCTTTACATTTTCATTTGGGTTTTTTAAAATTTTATTTTTAAGCATTTTTTCAATGAACAGCTTTACTCTTTTCATTGCCTCAATAAATATTAAGAAATTGACCCAAGTAAACAAATTCTGAAAGATAAAATACTTAAATGCTGCTTATTTAAGGTTTTAGTCTTTAAAATTTTAACCTTCCTCGTATTATTTTATACTGAATTAATGGCTGCATCACATTGAGACGTTGGCTCCCATAGTGATAACCAAAGTTAAGCAACATTGAGCTTGATATAGTTAATCGCAGTGCAGAGTTCCAATTCTTGTTGGGTTTAGTTACATTCACTACCCTTGGCAAATGGATGAATCCACTTTTTCTCCCCTAACTATGGGTTAATTACTAAGACTTGTATCACTGTTGTTCAAATGTAAGGTTTACTGTTGTGTTTCCCACATATCCCCATAAACTATGCCTCTTACTCTGTAACCATCTGCATTGAGTGGCTCTTGGGCCTTGCACAGGAATGAACATCATTGTAAAAGAATAAAAAAGAAGAGAACCTTACATTTGTCATCCTGAGTATTGTGAAAGGCTCAAGCATAAACAAAGAAAACTCTGATTCTGATGTGAATATTTTAATGGTTTCCTCTCAAAGGAAAGTGCAGTAAATATAATATTGATACCTCCACTAATTTGGTATACGTAAGTTTTGAAAATAAAATGTATTTTTAAAAATAAAAAAAAAAACTTCCTTGAGGCTTTCATTTTAGTTTTAATTGAAAGCTAAGATTTCAAATTTACTATTTCCAGTAAGAAAAATACTCTATGGTGTATTTCAAACAGAAATTACATTGATCAGAATTGATTTGATATATTATTATTTTATTGTTTTTTATTTTATTTTTTTAAGTAAAATTGATAAAAATCAGACATTTTTGACATGTTTGTAAACAAGTTAACTCTCAGTTTTAAAAATCTTGCAAAAATAAAATCTATATTTCTGAAATGGTATTTAAGGAAAATTAGCGAATTTAAAGTTAAATTTGATTTGAAACAAATATTACTTACAGCATAAAATGTTGTATACAAACATTTATCAACTATTTGGTCTTAATTATATAATTAAATTAAAAGCATTAGTTCTGTTTCATCTTCAAATGAATTTTAAACAGAACTAATGCTTTTAATTATATAATTTGATGTTTTTAGCTTCAGTTTTTGAAACATGGTTATTACTGTGTAGCAAAGTAGCCATATTTTAAATCAGTTTATATATATATATATATATATATATATATAAAAAAGTTAATGATCAGAGTTGAATTATACCAGGAAACAGTAATTTTAAAAAAGATATTTAACATGTAGAGCTTTTAAGTATAGAAAATTAGAAATCTGGCGATTTGGTCAATTCATTTCTAATGCTGTATTTTTTAAAAATAAAAATTTATGAATGCTAAATTAAAAAAAAAAAAATGAATAGGTACATGAGGTGTGGTAGAAGGTGAGGAGGAGGGGAAAAATCAAATGTATCAGTGGTGGTGGTGGGGGGGCAAGGAAATATCCATACTTTCTTTTTATCTCACTTCAAATGAGCCCAAAAGAAGCTTTTGAATACAATGGGACATAATTTCAGATCTCTGGTTTAAAAGGTTTTTTTGGGGTCTGGAAATGTTATAGTTAATTTCTCTTGTTGACAAAGGTTACAGATGTTGCTATGATTGTTGTAAGGATTTAGCTTTTTTTTTTTTTTTTCTTTTTTTAAATTTTCCAGTTTACAGTCAGATCTTTTTTTATTTTTCACATTTAATTTCCACCCATGGTTGACTAGTTTAGTAGATTTTTATTTTTCAAAAATGAACCATTAGGAAATCAATTGACTGAAATTGCCTGAAGATACTGAAAGGTTGAAACCAGGGTAGTGTAATCACACACACACACACACACACATATATATATATATGTATATAGTAAAGGTAATAAATCCATTGGTATATAATCTAAGTGGATCCTAGCAATATAAAATATTAAAACTGATCCACAAAAGGAGCTCAATGTATTTATTATTACAGAACAAATAATTAATACACAATAAAATCCAAAATCACCTCATATAGGGAATAAGCTTATTTTAGCAGAGGAAAATATAAGTTGTCAATCCCGGTATGGACTGAGTTTGTGTCAGAAATAGAAATTTAACTATGAAAGTTAAAAAAAAAAAAAAACAGTTGAAAAAAATACTACCAGAATTTATCCATTTCAATGTTTCAGTCAGACGAAAGGCACAAGACAGTGGTCACGGGAGGGTAGAAGATATTTGTCTTAAAGGGAAGTAGTTTTATAACATTAAACTCAGATATTAACCCTATAACATTAAATTGGGGTTATATGAAGAATGAAATGTTAATTTAAAACTAAGAGATTAATAAAAAGGCATTTAAAAAAAAAAACTTTAAAATATTTAAAGTTATATTTAAAACTACAAAATCATACTTAAAAGTAAAAAAACATATTCCAAAAATAAAATATAATTAAATAAGTTATATTTTAAAAAAATTATATTCATTAAAATATAAATAAATAGCTTATATTTAAAAATAAACATGTATTAAAATAATCCAAATACAATAAGAAAAATATATATTTAAAAATATAAAGAAAAAATATAAAAAAATTATACTTAAAAATACAAAGTTATATTAAAAAAACAACCCTAAAATATATAGATAAATGTAAGTGATAAAAGAGTTCTTCGATCAAGGGACAATTTATAAGATAAAAGTAATATTGTGTAAGATGGGGGAAATTAGAATTATTTATACATTTGACATTTGAAGAGTTAGAGAAACATAATAGCTAATTAAGTAAAACCCATATTGAAATTTTAATTTTTTATGCCAACTTTTTAATACTAATTCATTCCTCTGATTGAACAGTTGACTTTGATTATTGTATTTTATTATTCTAATTTTTTTTTTTTTAAAACATAAGTTACATCTATATCTAAGACTATTAGAGTATGTGTGGAACCTATAATCTTCCAAACTATCTGTGCGTTCAAACCTTTCTACTTTATTTCCCAAAATTATTATCATTAATTCACTCATTCTAAACCAATGAGAAACGACTCCACTTTTCATCTACACACACAAACACATGACACTCTCACTATCAGAGAAGAGTCAATACAAGCTGTTAACATGTGTGTCATTGAAAATTACAGCTCCTTTTCCTTTTTCAAGCCATAATAGTAACAATTATCTCTTAAGGCTCAACAAAAATTTGAGGTCAGAAAACCGCAGACACTTTTTATATTTTCTGACTAAATTATCCGGACATTCATTACACACATCTATAAAAAATACATAAGAACAACTGTATACACTTATTCTTTCTTATCATTCTGTTGGATTCCATATTTTGTCTACATTTAACCCAAACTCATAATTTTATTCAGTATTACTTTCATCATGTTTCCAACTCCACAATACAAACAGATAATAAATAATACTTGTTTTGCTGTTTCTCATATTTACATGTATTTTTGTTTTAAACATAAATGGAACAGGGTTTATAATTATCTACTCACTGATACGGGGGAGTAATGGATAGCAGCTTGGGTTGAGGAATTGGAGAACCAAATTCAAATTCCAGTTGAATCTATTACATTCACTTTCTCAAGGTATGTATCCTCCTCTTCTCCCCCCAGCTATAGGTAAATAGCAGGATAGGCCAGGTTCTATAGCTTTGGATGGCAACAGGTCTACTGCAGAAAGAAATGGCAACCTACTGTGGGGAAAAAAAAATCCTGCCTCGTCAGTCATGTATTGAAAGATACGCAGTCGCCTAAAAACGATATATCATAGATGGTACATAACTGGGTGATGAACTTTGTATATGACCCCCTTGAGCTTTTATAAAGCAATGGTTTTTAATTTTCTAGATGTTATAACTTCGAAATAGTTTCATTAACTGAAATAATATTAATGTGAGAAACTCGTATTTATTTGACTTTATTTTGCCTGGAAAAAGACTGAAAAAATAAAAGCAAATACGGAAATTTTATTTTTTACTTTAAAAAAAAAAAAAATACAAAACTATCTCGTTTTAATGTGATAGGAAGCAAAGCAAAGAAAAAAATATTTCATAATGTTCCGATGGATTAATATCCATTACATTCACTTAGATGTTAATACCCTTGGGAAAAGTATGAATCCTTTTCTTCTCCCCACCAACTATGGGCAAATAGCAGTGCAGACCAGGTTCTCTAGCCTTGGATAGCAACTGGTCTACCACAGAAAGAAATGGCAACCTACTGCAGGAAAAAAATCTGCCTTGCCAGTCATGTATTGAAAAGATATATGATCGCCTAAGTGTGTATCACACATGGCACATAACTCCCTCACACTGTTTAAAATGAACTTACCAGCAAATGGTAAACTGTTCCGATGTTGAATTCTGTTTTGCCATCTTTTTTCTTCCCAATTTCAAGACTTTGTTTATAACTCTGAAAAGGAGAGAAGAAAAGAAAATTGATAATGTGTAAAGTATTTATCTGATTTGATGACTAAAAGACTGACCAGGGTCCCTTTATTTCAGCATGATAATGAGCATCACCAACTTGGCATCTGAATTGGAAAGAAGCTAATTATAAGTATTTCAGTTCTCTTACTGTTTCAGTGATTTTTTTTTTCTTGTCAAAATCCTTTTCTTTTTTTCTTTATTTTTTTTTAATCATTTCACCCCATACAAGACAGTAAATCCACTAAGACACAAGGAGTCACTAAGTGAAAAAATAAGAAAAAAGAAATATTAAGGAACAAGAACAATAGAAGAGGCATCAAGAAGATGGTAGATAATGATTAACATCACATTTAAATTTTTGAATTTAAAAGTTGGCTAAGAATATTATAGATTTGGAAGAGAGTTTTACAGTGATTGTGCTAGAAATACAAGTCCCATAAAACTTGGGGTTCCAGATAGTTAATAAATGAGGTAAAGAGATGGAATCTTGTTGCATAATCTAGAGGATATGTAGAATTTATAAAGGATGACCATGGAAAGAGTTCAAAAAAGGTTTAGATTGAAATAATTTGAGAAAAACATCCTTTTAAGCTAGATGGTGGGAAAAAGTCGCTAAAGCTGGGGGGGAAGAAGATGTTTGATTCTTCTTTCCTTACTAATGGAATCTCTAAGTATGAGGATGAGTTGACCTTTGTGTACATGCAGTAATCAACATTCTAGCCATAAATTAGAGAACAACTCATCATAAGATTTCAAATGTAAGATAGAAGCTATGAAAGTAAATGTTACACTCAGGAAAAGCTATGTTGATTTATTCTGTCACAAAATATTTTTGTATTAATATTTCTGGATTTTTGAAATACACTTTTATAGCTATGCATTAATAATAGATTCTGGATACAAGTTCTACTATTTAACCCACTTTGGGGAGATTCTGGATAGAAGGAAATGTGTTGTAGGGTGGAAAATAATTCTCTCCAATATGGTTGTATAAAAGACTTTTAATTCTGAATATTAACATTTACCAATATATATATATTGCCATATTTGGACAGAAAAAATAAAACTTATAGCTATGTAAAAGATAGATTCTGGAGTGGTTACTTAAAGAGTTTAAATAGATTCTTATTAGCAATCATTTTAAAAAAAAATGATAGATTCTGGAGAAGTTTTATCGTTGTAGCTATGTCAAAGATAGCATTCTGGCAGAATTTACAGTTTTATAAGCCATGTAAGAATTTTTCAGCCCATTACACTTTTATACCACTCGAAATAACCTATGTGTGTTAGCTAGTAATTTTGATTCTGTCCAAAGTTTATTTACACCATAGCTATGTAGATATTATTCTAGAAAAAAATTTTATTTCACTGGAATAAGCTATGTAAGATAGATTCTGGAATGTGTTTATTTATAGCTATTTAAGATAGATTCTGGGATAAAGAATTACACTTATAGCTATAAGATAGATTAAAAAGTTGGAAAATTACACTTTAGCTTTTAAGATAGATTCTGGAGAGAAGAATTAATAACAGGGTTCAAAAAACAGTAGAATTACACTTAAAGTGAATTTAAATTCTGGAAGAAAGGAACAAAAGGAACAGGGTTCAAAATTCTGGAGAGATGAGAATTGCACTTAGAGCTATGTAAAGATAGATTCTGGAGAAGAATTACACAATTAGTGTAAGATGAAAATGGTGCGAGAAACTTATAGCTATTAGAATATTCTGCAGTCAAGAATTACACTTATAGCTCATCTGAAATTCTGGTGCTGTATCCTTTATCTATATTAGCATAGATTCTGGGTCAAGAATTAGGGAAATAGCTCATGTAATAGATTTGTTTTTTTGCCATTAGTATTTGGCTCATGCTATCCATAGATTCTGGAAGGTGAATTACACTTTTAGCTATGTCTCCCATAGATTCTGGAGTATCCATTACACTTATAGCTAAATATAGATTCAGATTCTTAATGATCTCTTAGCGATGTAAATAGATTCTGCTGAGAAGGTTCTAGAACTTTGCCATTCTGGAGAATTATTATCCCAGAATATTTAAGATAGATTCCTGAACCACATTAAGCTTAAGCTATGTTTGATGTCATCTCTGAAGATTGCCATGTTTTGCCATATAAAAGAACATGTTATTGAAAATTACATTTATAGAACCACATTTCTTCTGGAGATTTTTTTGTTTCTAGCTATGTAAATAGATTGTGGAAGCATTCATTTTTTTGCTATCCCAATGTAAGATAGATTCTGGAGAGAAGTATGTATTTTTTCCAGCTAATGTAAGATAGATTCTGGAATTTGATTTTTTACACTTATAGCTATGTAAGATAGATTCTGGATAGACTTCCCAAATTACACTTATGTAGCTGATTTATATGCATTTTATTTTAGATTCAGTGGAGGCTTAGTCCTTTCTTCTTATATCCTTCTCATACATTCTGGAGTTCTGTATTTTCCTTATAGCTATATCTGCCATCACCCCAGTGAATTCTGTTAAAACTTGTTAAGATTGTGGGCTACCAAAGATGAATCTTATAGGCTATGTAAAGATTCTCAGAATTCTTGTTGTATGATTGGAAAAGGTCTGGTGAGAAGAATTTTACACTTACTGCTTTTTATGTTTGTATATCTACCGAACTCATTTCCTATAGCTGCAGGCAGTTTAGAGAAGTATCAGTATCTATGTAAGATAGATTCTGGAAGTTCCATTATTCTATGGAATAGATTCTGGAGAAAACACTTTTGCATAGCTATGTAAGATTGCTTTGGAGTTCCACACGTTATTTATGTAAATATAGATTCTGGAGAAAACACTTTTAAAGATAATCTATAATAAGATACATGAGCATAAATATCACATTCCTTGTTCCAGATTCTTTAACAAAAATTACACTTCTTATCCTATTTCAAATTTGATTCTGGAGAAAAAAATACATTTGTAGCTATGATGATAAATTTTGTTAGAAGAATTACTTATAGCTCGTGCAATAGATTCTATCTTTTGCAATCTACACTTAGGCAATGCTATGAAAATAGATTCAAGATAGGTTCTGGTATATTCTGATTGAAATATTACATTTATGTATGTAATCTTGATTCTGATAAAGAACTTATAAATGCCAGCATCCATTCCACCGTTTTGTTTCCATTATGCTATAAAGATAGATTTCTGAGATTTCAAATTTTTTATCCTTAATTATGGCTGTGTATAGATTGTTTTCTTTGTTGTGAAGAAGATATTTTCTTATATATTTTTTTAAGATAGATTCTGGAGAGAAGAATTACACTTATAGCTATGTAAGATAGATTCTGGAGAGAAGAATTACACTTATAGCTATGTAAGATAGATTCTGGAGAGAAGAATTACACTTATAGCTATGTAAGATAGATTCTGGAGAGAGAAATCACCTGCATTTGTAAAATTTCTTTGAAAGAGTACACTATATAGCTATGTAAACCTTGGATTCTGGAGAGAAGAATTTCCTTTTCATCTATGTCATGAAGATTCTGTTATCCATTCTTCTTCCTTATAGCTAAAAAAAATAAGATTAGGAGAGAAGAAGATTGTTGATGTTAAAAAAAGATTCTGAGAGAATATGTCTCACTTTTATAGCTATGTCAATTAGATTCTCAATCTACTTTTCTTTTATACTGTCTATATCTCAGACTATTAGACATCTATGTGCAATCAAAAGTAATCTTTTGAACTATCTGTTTGTTCAAACCTTTTCTACTTCATCACTGGAAGATTGTTATTAATTCCTGCTCATTTTTAGGTATGTTTTGAAATGTAAAAAGTGAATTTCTAAATTATTGATAGTTATACATCAATATAAATTTTCATAGTGAACCAACTTTCCATGTGCATATGTGTCAATGGGTTCAATATAGGTGTTGGCTACTAAATGATCATTTGATAATGGGCATTTAACCCACTTTTGAAGGTTAGCATCAGCCATACTGATGGGAATTTGCTAACTCTTTCAGATCTTCATGAAGATTTTTTTTTTTTTTTTTTTAGTAATTGTAGGTGACTGGATATTTCTTGGAAAAAACAGAGGGAGGAACCAAAAATGAGAAACTATTGTAATACCAACTCATATATAAGAAAGTGACTGTTGAAAATTTAGGCAAGAAATGAAAAGATGTACTTGAAGCAACAGATCAGGTTCTGCAGAAGAATCCTGAAGAATGCTAAACAAATGGTAGAAAATAAAATGTTTAAGAGAAAATGGAAAAAAAAGGAAACTTAGAATAAGAAAGAAATTACTGAGATGCGTAATGAGGAAAGAGGGCCTGTATTATAATGAACAATTTGGGACATCTTGAAGAAAAAAAAAAAAGAAGAAAAGCAAAATAACCTCATTAAAGTTTGGATAAATGGATGAGAGGGGAATAAATATAAAAACAAACATTGGTTTGCTTTACAGGATAGGAAATTGTGAAGAGCCATGATCACCTACATCTTGAAAGGATGTGGCTCATAAAAGAAAAAAAAAAATTTCCAGAAGTTACTAAGAGCATTCAAAAATTCAAGGAGGTTGTGGCGAGCCATGATTACCTGCATCTGGAAAGGACATAGCTGATAAAAAAAGGTAAAGGTCCAGAAGTTAATTAGAAACAAAAAGAAGTTTAAAGTTTAATTTGTTGACACTGGCATTCTGAAAGGATATGGCAAATAAAAGAAAAAGAGGAATCATTCCAGAGAATTTAATTGTGTCTTTTTAGACCAATTATGACTGAATAGTGATTTTGATCCTCATTGGGTGCTCTGTACTTTTGGCCTTTAATGAAAATTTTATCCTGATAAAAAAGATCCAAAAATTATTTAGAGCAACAAAACAGAATTATGCAAAAGAGGTTTTTGATCGATAACATTTAGAAAGGACATGGCATATAAAAGAATGGATCTGCAGGTGGCATAATGGTTATCAACATGGAAAGTGGAATCAGTGAGGCAAGTTCAAATCCCAG